AAGTACAAATTATTTGCAATGGTCACTTTGTCGCATCCAGTGTGGACAGCCTCAAGCTGTTGGCTTACCTCCGGACTTTTTTTATTATTATTTAATTTTTTTGGCTAGTAGAAATTATGAATGGCCGGTAAATTAAAAATGTAGTAGCCAAATTGGCTGGTGAGTGAAAAAGTTAATTTCAAACCCTGAATATAGTAATATCACCTTATTATAATATACCTAAAGTATGCCTGCATGCAGGACTCTGGCTTCCCCATTGTGGACAACATAATAAACAACTCTGGCCCCAGAGAGTGATTGTAAATTAAGTTGACATGAAATATGTTTGAAATTTCATTCTGCATCTTCTGAGATTTCATTGTAATCCTTCTCATAAAGTCACTAAATTAACCATTAAGTGTTCACCTGATTGAGTTGCCGTCTGTGTGTGATGTTAGAGCATTGTTGAGAGAGAACAAGAATGTATTGGAAACACATTACTGCCTACCCGACTCTGCCTGAGAGGTAAGGAAATACACTTATCTGAGATGATTTTTTTTATATCTGTGAAATATATGATATATTCTTGAAAACAATATTTTAATGTATTATTGAAGAAAATATTATCTAAGTATCAAAGAAAAAAACAATAGCCATAATATGGACTTTTGTGAATGCTGTGATCCTGTGATGCTCAGATACTGTTATTTCCTTTTCACATTGCTGATTTCACCATTAACTCTTCACCTGAACGGTTTGTTTTTGTATATGTATCATTGTAATTATTGACCATCAACACATAGGGGTAGACATCACCTTTTCTGTGTTATCATGTTTGGTTTAGGAGATATGACACAAAATACATAATTTGGTTATGGCGGAAAGTCAAATGGTCGCCATGGCAACCACGAGGGGTTTTTGCAATGGCTCCATTTCTGAAAATGTTTAGGGCTGTAAACTATACAAGTGTACCAAGTTTAATGCTTTTATGAAAAAGTGAACATTGCTTTCACATATCACCTGGACTATATATAAAATTATGAGCGAGAACATGGAAACAGGAACATGAGAAACAGGAAACAATAAACAAGATAAGACTATTAACACGAACTTCAAAACAAACAAACTCAAACACATTATTTTAGTGAAGATGTTTTTAGTAGGAAAAATTTTGAAGTGATTTTCAATTATTATTATTATTATTATTCCTATTATCATTATTAATATTAATACTACCCCTAAAAAATATTCAAATATGTACAGTAGAAAGCAAAGAAAAGCAGTCAAATGCCGTGTGAGAAAAACTTGATTGCTTTTATATTTATGATATTTTATGAGTTCATACATTTAAATTGTCACAAATCATTTTCAACTTTCACACAAAATCATTATCACTTGTGAGTTGCAAATTTCCTGACTAGGTGGTGGTTTTCTGGATTACATTTTGTTCATGGACTCTCAAGTTTTAGTTGGATATTTCCATAGGCAATATTTGCAGTGTTTATAAAACTAAACCTGAACGTCATTTCTAAATGTCGCTGAGATGCCAACATAACTGAATATTTGCCTTAATGCTGTGCAGCACAAGCATGCTGCTTTATGAAAAGTTGGTCTGTTTATCCAAGTAATAACGGTTGAAAGGTGAGTTCTTAATCCAGCCATCAGAGTTTTACATTCTCTACTGAAATGCTCTTTGGAGTGAGAACAAGGCTTTCTTCTTTCATCTCTCTGCATGTCTCGGGATCACTTGTACCTTTTGTCATCCTTTTCTGGTCCTCTTCAATAGTGCCTCAGGAATTCTGCATCGCTACTCTCTGGCCCACACAATACCATTCCGTTTACCATTCAAAGGGGCAGAAAGGAAAGGGCAGGGCAAAAAGAAATAAGCCCAGTTGAGTTTTAGGGAGCGAGGAGAATGGGAGCTGTGAATAGGTCACGTCAGAGCTGGTTTTAAAGAGCTGCTCTCAGAGGCTTTAAAAGAATGAGGAGCACAGTGAAAAATGGCCCACCGAGGGTTGAAGGCAGCGTGGTGGCTTTTGAGGTGAATGAACTGTCAGGATGGGACCTACCTCTCCCTCGGACACTTTCACAGGGACAAAGACTGATAGAAGGAGAAAAGAATGGGCAAACGGGAGCACAGGGACGAGAAGAGAATACAAGAGGATGTACAAGGAACAACTGACAGAAAGAGAGACGGATGAAGATGGATGAGGAAAAACCAACAGAAGCCAAAGTAAGGGCTCAAAATTCAGTGTAAAGATGCAATGCCTCATCAAAGCCATCAAAGACTGAATTATGCCTGCTCAGACCCACCTCGCCCCTAAGTATCAAAGTATACAGTTGTAAATGCTGTGTAAATGCATTTATGCCATCTCTGAGCAGCATTAAACAGTATGTAGACACCTAATGCCACTTCAGAAGCACTTCTGTGTCATCTTTTCAATGTAAATTTGACACTAGTTTTACAAAATAAGGCATAGTATTTATATAAATATTACAAATAATATTAATAATGTTACAATGTTTATTTTTATTAAAGACAACAATCCATTATAAATGATGTTACTATGCCCCATGACCAATACATAAATTTGTCAAGAAATGTAAAACATTTAATGAATTAAATTAATTAATGAAATGAAAATAAAATAAACAATATACTGACTTCTAAAGACATTGTTTGTATTCAATGCTTTCTTCAGCCACAAAATGTAATGTCTTTAAATGTTCTTAATTTTAGAGCTTTTCTCAGAAATATTGATATTAATTAACATATTAAATATATATTAATATTAACATATGAAAATATATATTATAAAAATGTACATTTTATATAATTAATATAACTATTAATAAATTATAAATATGAATAAAATCAATCTATAGTTAAATTATTTTATATAAAGGATTTAATTAATTTATTTCATTTTTTTTACTAAAAGTTTTAGTAATTTGCGGTTTTTTTAATTTATTTTTTTGTTTTTTTATATGTCTATATAGTTTTACCTCATGTTAGATTCTGCTCATACATGCAAACTGCATTATCTTAAATTTTACAGTCTCAATATACCATTATGCCTTCTTTATGGCTAAGGTCTCTTAAAACATTACACAACAGTCTTGTAAAATGTGAATATCTTTAGACTATTAGAATCATATTTTTCCAGAGTAGCCCATCCTCTTTGTCAGGTTTGTGATATGAATTTTGTTATTGCGACGTGCTTTGATATTCCCTTGCTATTTCTGTATAATTTCATCTCCTTTTACAGCCCAAACAGGATCAGAGCAGAATTTTTGCAGCAGCTTTTTACTACAGTGAATTTATCATTGCAGAAAGCTTTCCCATAATCCTGTGAGGGAGTGCTATGTATTCTTTTAGGGTCATTGAAAGGATGTACACCAGCAGCTTGGAGTGGGAGGGGATGGGGGTGGGCTACTTCGGTGGGAAAGTTTGTATCTGGAGTGCAGTAAGTGGAGGCTGTAGCAATTACGCATTGAAGACTGGATAGCTAAAACTCTTATACCATTAGACAGCTGAATTTGAGTGGATCAGATGTGTTTTAATTCCGATTATATCACTGTGTGAAGCAGTCTGGGAATGTGGCTCTGGCTTTAGGGCATTAGAGGGAGATTTGAGGCAAGTCAAAGTTCAAATCACTATAAATAAGCCATTGTTTTTCATTTGTGTCATCTTCATTAGTTCACATATAAAAGAGAAAATCTGTATGAAAGGGAAAGAGATGGCTGTCAGCCCATGAGAACAAGGTCGGGTCATATTGCATTAATCTCAGCAGACACTGACCCAATGAAGACAGAGGTCAAGGCATGCTAATGAACAGTACTAGATTATTTAAAGAAGTAGATTAACCAAAAATTAAAATGTAATTATGAGGACTTTAGCAATTTAAGACATTACGCTGCAATATTTTTTTTTTTCTGTAAAGATGCTTTAAAATAATCTGTATTGTGTTTCTTAATAAAATTGACAACTTAATTTAAAGTGCTTTCACACCACAACATACATACATTAGTATTTCTATGTTATGTTATTGTATGCTGGTTGCACCAAATAACTTTGATTTGGGGACAAAAGTATTAATAAACAGCTAAGCAATTTTGTTAAAAATATATTTATTACCATATAAAATAACTGTATTTGTTTGCCAGAATTTCATTATTTTAATTAATTAATCTTTCAACATTATTATATTAGGAAAGTTTTGTTGTTGTTGTTTGTTTACACTACCATTTAAAAGTATGGGGTCAGTAAGATTTTTATTGTAAAAAAAAAAAAGAAAAAAAAGAAGTCTCTTAAGCTGACCAAGCTGCAAAAAATAAAAGAATTATATATATAATGACACAAGGAAGAGTGCCGTAGGTAATCACACACAGCAAATTTCTGGAGTTGAAAAATCAGGAGTTAGGCAAAAAAGAATGAAAGAGTTAGATTTCTGGAGTTTATTTTTTAACTCTGCATGTGTTATGGGATACTCCCTGGCTGTGTTTTATTTTGGAGTTCATTAATTGGTGTTGAGGAGCGTGTTTTAACACCACATCTGGAGTTAAATGTTGAGAAGTGCGCCACGACACGACCCTGGTTCTGCAGCACAAAGGACTTGTACTTCATCGTGAGGTAGGTAAAAGCGTATTTACATATAAAAAAAACTTTCAAAATGTTCGATATTTTCTGACAGAAACACGTTTTGTCGTAGCTGTTACGTTATACTGTGTACTAACGTCAATGATCGTGGCGAACTTGGTGCTGAACGTAACTCATATTTTCTCCGTTTTTCCGAGCATGTTTTGTGCGGGCTTTTTTTTTTTCGATGTGAAGCAGCCAACATTAGTTAACCGTTTTTCCATTCTCCGTGTTCCTGAAAATGAGTGTTTTGCCATCAAATTAAAGTAGTGACTCAGCTCAAGAAACATCATATTCAGCTTCCATAAACTAATGCCGACGAGGTAGTTTCTTTTATCCAGTAATGCAGCCTTATGTCTGTCAGATAGCCTTATGTTTTACATGAAAGCTGTACTGAATGATGATCCAGGTACGGTCATCATCAAAATAGTAATGTTGTTACTTGAGTCAATCAATCTTCTATTTAAAAAGTTTTTATTAATTATTTCCCAAAAGCATTTTTCCCAAAAATTCTGCGAAAAACACTTAATACAGTTATTTCTTAAAATTGTCAATTAATAAAGCTCATCAGTAAATTCATGCTTTGGGAATGCTGTTCATAACTATTTACATTAAAAAAAACATGATGCGTGTAAGAACATAGTAAGAGTAACAGTTCCCTTGGCTTTGGGCGTGCACAACTATAATAACTACCCCACTAATAGTTCGTAATTTTAAGATATTATGATGCACAATACACAGGGGTAACTTAGAGATGCCATAAACAGACTAGTTTGAAATAACTACTGTTATTTTCTGACTCCAGAATGGGACAGTGACATGGCTTCTCTACTTGTCCTGCTGGATCTTCTTACTCCACAATCAGCTGGAAGAAAGCAGCCCAAGAAGATCAGTGTTGGAGAGGCAACATATCATCTGGTGAAATTTCATAAGGTTTGTTAAGACAGCTCTATCCTATTCCAAATATTGTACGTAATGCCTATGTTTAAACAAATTGTTTATAAAGGGACATTTGTGTTGTGTTTCAGTCATGCCAAAGTCTTGATGATCATCTCCTGACCACTAATGGAAACCCTCAACCATATCTTCTTGCTTCAGGGTCTTCAAAAGCACAGGTTTCCACATTTTACATTGTCTTGGACAGAAAAGGTTTGCCTTGTCAGTCATGTACATCCTTGGGTACTTTTGACTGAGCAAGTCCAATTTTGTTTTCAGTGTGAATGATCATAATGCTCTGTCCAGCCTGTACACATGTTTGCAGACAACTATGTACAAAATTGATATAGATACAGCTGAAGAAACTCCAAAAGTCAAAGAACTGAGAGCAAGGCTGTTGAACAAGCAGTAATTGTCTTATTCAACCAAAATGTTAAGTTGTTTCCTCTGCACTTCATCCTTTGGTTCAGCTTTGCATTTGTTCAGGCATTTGAGTCATTACTGTCTTGTTTGCAAGCCAAGGCAGATTTATCCAAATTAAATCCCCATAAAAACCAGTGATGTCTTACAGTATTGCCGGATTGGTAATCGTTTCAGCAGTACAAGCAGATGTCAATGCTACTTCCCTTGAAAGAGACCTCTGCAGTTCTTTGGCAGAAACTCAATTTGTCCACATGGCTACTATGTCATTCCTGAAACCCATACATCTCACTTCAGCAATCCCCACTTCATCCCTATTGATCTGTTGTCCACTGTCAGTGAGATTTTTAGTCAATAGCCGAATTGATTGAATCAAACCCTTAGAAAATCAAGCCCTGTTAATTATCTGAGAATGTTTTCACAGCAAATTAAAAAACATTAAATCTAATTTAAAGGTATAGTTTACTAAAAAATGAACATTTTTAATTAAATTTTTAATGTAATTTTTATTTTATTTAATAATTTAATTTAATTTTTGATCATTTAATGGCTTTTCTTCTCTAATAAATACGAATTTCTGTCTTTGCCATTTATATATAAAATATATACATGACTTCAGAAGACATGGGATATAGCACATGAACCATACATGTATATGGACCATGGACCACTTTTATGATGCATAATTTTTATAGCTTGAAAGCTCCTGAACCCATACTTCATAATTTCTCTATCGTTTCTCATGTCCCATCAGTGCACATGAGAGTGAGTAAAAAATGACAACTTCCATTTTTGGATGAACTGTTCCTTTAAATTAAGCTGTATTCTGATTTTCTTGGAGAAATGTGAGAGTTAATACGGCGTGTGGGATGATGATAAACTGCAGTCTCGCAGTAAATGACTTTAAGATTGATATCAGAAGCTCACAACTCCGATTTAACAGACCAGATGAGGGGAGCCATTGAGGTGCAGCTGGTAGGAAGAGGAATGGTAAAATCATTCAAACTAATACCACAATCCCTCCTACATATAAAGCCATTTTTATGACTGCACACTGAGCGTCTATCTCCTTAAGCCTTATTTCAGACATGTCCAAAGAAGATTCAGAGGAGGATGCATGAAGACATAAAAAGAAGGGCTAAGGAATGCATTAGTGCTTGCGAAATACTCCACTTTTTCCTCTGTCTTCTCATGTCTGTCTGTCTGCTTTACTAAATTGTCACTAAAATCCTTGCTGCAGTACAGCTCAGACACCAAATAAGTCCATGTGAACTCGTACAAAGTGCGAGTGACTGAGCTATTAAGCCAATGGGGTGCTTCACAATGCTTGAGGATTTTTTAAAGGAATGTGAGTGTCCTCTACGATTCCGATTGACATCTGCATCATGAAGAAAGCAAGCCAATGTCTCTCTATTGCACCAATCTTTTAGTAAACACTTAATTATTCCTTTGCTCTAAATGCTGAGAGCAGTATCTCAAAGACGTAATCCTTCCTCAGAGGATTTCGCCCAGTTCCCATGACCCCATGCTTCTCTGGCTTCCATTAATAATGGGAAACTTTGTAGCAGCCAGCAGAGAAAAGAAAATTCAGAACTGAAAACATTCACATGCAGTATGGGATATGACCTGAAAAGCATGCTAACTGCAGGTAAAGTTAGGCATACACTGTGAAATTTTCGTTAATTTTTAAAGATGATTTCTGACTCATTTTATTTATTTAATTTTGTCGTGCATTATTCGTCAGGCAGTGTCAGTGAGGGGGTCACAAGGTGTTAAATTTTGGTCACCCCTCGTAAGGGTCCCACGTGTTTATTTCACACATACTGGGCCTCATTTATCAGTCTAACATAGAAACGACCACAGATCCGTGCGCACAAATCAACTTCCGACCAGTGGTGGAAAGAGTACTGAAAAAATATAGTGAGTGGGAATTTAACGAACGTGGCACTTGTGAGTTAACACTGTACGCAATACCCGCAACCTCACACCAAATTTCAGGCTGTGTAGATAGGCAAGCATAGCCTATATACAAATCATTTAGTAAGCAGAAATCCGAAATTTACCTTAGCATATTAAGTTAGAGGAAGATGCGACTGAATTGATGCTTGAAGAATGCGCTTCCAGCAGCCATGATAAACAGTTGGTGGTTTAAGTTCCCTTTTCACGCACTGCGAGCGTTTTTCAGAGAAAAAATAAATAAATAAATAAACCTCCGCTCTCGTTTGTCTCTCTTTTCGAGGAAAGAGGGGCAGCCATCTGCTTCCCGCGATCCAGGACCCACCGCTGCTGAGGCATGGAAGGGAATGAGCTCGTGGGGATCACAGGTGGATCTGGCCGATGAGTTTGAAGGGGGGTTTCCCTTTCGTGATCGTCGGCTGTGCACGAGAGTGAGCCGCTGGAGGATGATGTTATTTCATTAATATTATCTGATTCAGGGGCTATTGCTCTGCTGGGATCAGCCCAGCAAAAGCAGGAAATAGCTGAGGAGAGCAAAGAAGCAGAGGCTGAGCCTTCCCAATTCTCCTGCCCTGCGTATGATGAGCTTTTGGAAATTATGGATTGCGCCACGGTGAGGCTTTACTTGCCGTGAAGCGGGTGGAAAAATGACATCGCGGAATATCTCGATGAACGTTAGTTCCCATGAAAGGGAACGTCTCAGGTTACTTATGTAACCATGGTTCCCTGAGTAGGGAACGAGACACTGCGTCCTCTAGGTTTCTTACCATGCTGCGGACGCAAGCTTCAGACAAAGAAGTGAATGATGTGTAGCTCCCGGCGCCTATTTATACTATAGTCGCACCGGTAGTGACGTCATGGCTGTCGCCGGCCAACGAGTTGGTGTTTTTTCAGTGTACGCTTCAGACACGGGTCACGACGAGGTGTTCCCCATAGCGACCCCTAGAGGACGCAGTGTCTCGTTCCCTACTCAGGGAACCATGGTTACATAAGTAACCTGAGACGTTTTCTATGCACAATTTGATTTGACGAAAGTCACGAGACCTATTACAATCTATCCAATCACGTTGATGGATAAAAATTACATTTAAATAAGCATGTAACGACCACAAACGGAGGAAAATAGCAGAGTAAAAGTACATCACTTAAAATGTACTCAAGTAAAAGTACACAATTTTTAAACTACTCAAAGTACAATTACTGATAAAAACTACTTAATTACTGTAACGTGAGTATTTGTAATTCGTTACTTCACACCGCTGCTTACAACAGAGTTCACGTGTGATTCATGGAACATTCGTATGCCGCCAATCTCATCATAGGAATGATCGCACGTTGATAAATGTGGCGGCAGAAAACAATCGTCATTTGAATATCGCAATATCAAAAACAACCTAGTTTAGAAGCCTTGCCCCTAGAGTTTACGACACGGAGAAACGAAACCCGGCCGAAAAGAGGACGTTATTTCGTGAAAGAGAAATTTATCTTGCTCCAAAAACACCCATTAACTTTGCCCCTAGAGTTTACGACACGGAGAAACGAAACCCGGCCAAAAAGAGGACGTAATTTCGTGAAAGAGAAATTTATCTTGCTCCAAAAACACCCATTAACTTTGTAATTGCAAACAATTAGGCTACATTAATTTATGTACTTTAGATGTATATTAAAATATAAATATATTAACAGCCTATTTAGTTCCCCTCACTCTACAACAAATATTTTAAATTTAACGGTATTCAGAACAGAACAAGAATGAAAAATACGTAGTTATAAAATTATATATTCAACTATAAAATAAAACAAATTAGGCTATAGTGGCATTCATTATAAATGGCATACAAATGTCAAGCAAAACTGAAACGGCATTAAGCTCATGAGCCTGTCTCATATCACAAGAATCCAAATGTTTCCATTTTTGCCATATTTGTTTGCATAACTATTATTCATTATGTAGCCTAAACATGGCTTTATACTTCACTAATGTTCTAATATCCGTGTAAAAGCCATCACATGCGCAAAAATGTTTGTTTGGACACTGCACACTGATTTTACAGCAGACCTTTTAAAATAAACAGTGTAACTTTTACACAGTCAAATCCTGAGTGTTAAATTAACACTGCTCGGAGCATATATGGTCCCACTCTAAAAGAGTGTTAAAGTAACACTGAAGCAGTGTTAAAGTTAATGAGATAATTATGTGATTAATTAAGTGCTGATTGAGCATTAGTGATGAACAGCTGCTGTTAACAAGCAGAATCACTGAAGAAAAGAGAAACAAGAATTACAACTGACTTCAGCCAGACTTAGATAAAATCAACTGAAATAAAAGACATTAAATCTCTCAAGATCTCAGCAGAAGATGATTGAACAACTCTACAAACAGCATCACCAGCTTCATGCATTACTAACCAGTTATACTATCTAAAACAGAAGTTCTTTATTGAGAATTAATGTTTAGATGTTTTTTTTCTTCAACTAACCGTTTTTGTGAATAGTGGTTGCTTTAGTTGCCTCTTGACCCTTGACTTTTTAAGTTTAAGTTTATTTTTGGCTGGCAATTGTATAATACAAATGTGTGTATTAACCATATGTAATGGCAAGGAGCTTATGGGAAATCATGTCATGTGTATGAGTCTCTGATTGCAGTTTATCTAAAACGGTATTACTTTTATGATTTCTATATTGTTGCAGTTATATGAGAACAATGTGAGATAAACCTTCATAAATGATTTTTATAGATATGGTTTATAAAGAAGTTTCAATTCTGGCACTCATAGACATGAAGACCCAGCATGTAAATCTCAGCAATGGTGACAAAATATTCTGATAATTTTTATGTGATTTTTTTGAACGTCACAAAACAAGACAGTAAAAAGTCACAACAAAAAAATAACAAAAAAGCAAATGGTAAAAATCAAAGAAAATCCTAAGACAATGCAGCTGCATAATTTATTCATGTTGCAATGTATGCTGGGAGCCATGGATGAGTTATGATTGGTGCACCCAGAACGCAATGCAACATGAATCTGTCTGACTATCATCACCATTGTTGAGATTCATATGCTGATTCTTGATGTCTGCGTGTCTAAACCGTAGAGATTTGCTA